CATTCAAGAACTTGAAATCTTTAGGTCCAGACTTCGTGGTACGACCCATTGAAGTATCAATATTGGGGATTACTGGACACAGACTGCCCATACGAGGATGTTGTGAATTGCTAATCAGAGATGATAATTCTTCATACATACCTTGTGAATTTTTAGTTAGCGAAACAGGACTGTCAATATTGGGTTTAAAGAATTTGAAAAGGCTTAAGGTGGAGTTGTCCTTCTTAGTTTCTAAAGAAAATTCGGATACTTTACTTAAAGATTTGATAGCTATGTGTGCTAAGTGCAGTGGAGGTATGGAAATTCAGCCTATAAAACTTCAAGTACAGGGTGATCCAGTCCGTCTTAAAAGACGAATAATTTCTTATGGTCTTCGAGAAGCAGTACATAAGACATTAAACGACTTGTGTGTGAAAAGCATAATTGAACCAATTCAGTCTTCAGCATGGGGTACTCCTATCGTTACGCCACTGAAGTCGGATGACAAGACCCCTAGAAATTGTGGTGATTATAGATTAACTTTGAACTCCTGTTTGTTGAAGCAAACGTGCACGACGGTAGAGGCTGAAGATATTCTAAATCGACTCCATGGTTCTTAAGTGTTCTCGGAAGTTGACCAAAAAGATGCTTATCTTCAAGTTCCTTTAGATGAATCTTCATCTAGTTTGACGACAATCAATACTCCTTTTGGTCTGTTCAAATACAATTTCCTTCCATTTGGTCTAAGTTGTTCACCAGCCATATTTCAGGAAGTTATGAATAAAGTAGTTAGTGATCTTCAAGGTATTGAAATTTGTCAAGATGATCCCATTGTTCATGGTTCTGATAAGGTAGTTCATGACCAGAGACTTATTGCTTTATTGCGTCGTTTAATTGAGAAGAATATTACAGTGAATCCAAATAAGTGTTCATTTTGTGTATCTAGTTTTGAATGCCTTGGATACCTGGTTGATGGTAATGGTTTTAGACCAGATATGAAACGACTAGCTCCACTGACTAATGCACCGTCTCCGAAAAATCTTACAGAATTACGTTCACTAGTGGGCGCTCTTCAATACTATTCCCGTTTTATTCCTAATTTTTCTTGTCGTACAAATTGTTTATTTAATATTTTAACATCCAATTCATTCAAATGGAGTGAGGAACAAGAGTCATGCTTACGAAGTCTACTAAAGTCTCTTCAAAGTGATGCTGTTCTTCGAACGTACTCTCCCAATGCACATTCTGTGCTTATTATTGATGCATCACCTGTGGGAATTGGTGCAGTTTTGAAACAGGAAGGTAGACCAGTTATTTGTGTTTCACGCAAACTTACTGTTACTGAACAAGGTTATTCACAGACTCAACGAGAAGCATTAGGTGTGTTTTGGGCTGTTAAAAAACTTCATAAATATTTATTCGGAAGGAAACTAACTATTGTTACTGATCAAGAGGCTTTAAAGTTTATTTATCATCCCGAAAAATCTTTAGCACGTTCCTCAGCTGCTATGGTTCAGCGATGGAGTATTGCTTTAAGTGCATATGACTATACGGTTCAGAACAGAAATGCCAAACAAATTCAACATGTTGACTACATTTCTCGACAGTCATTACAAGATAGACCTATTAATACTTCGGACTGTTTATTAGTGCAACCTTTACCAGTGAGACGTCCAGATCTCATTAGAGAAACTCGCAGATATTTTGGATGTATACTAAGTGCTATACGGAAAGGCTGAGCTGCTAATTTGAAACGTAGATTTCCTATATATTTTTCAAAGCAGGATGAACTATCTACCACTTCTGATGGTATTCTGTGTTTAAATGGTCGTGTTGTCATTCCTCCTTCATTGAATAAATCTGTTCTTCAAGATCTTTATAGTGGTCATTTAGGTGTTGAGAAAATAAAGCCCCTGGCAAGGCTCACATGTTGATGGCCAGAGATAAATGCAGATATATGTCGTACGGCAAACAATTGTGAGAAATGTCATTAGTTTAAAAATCAGCCTTCGAAGTGGAGTCCATGGCCAGTATTGTCTGAGGCCTGGGAGATAATTCATGCTGACTATTGTGGTCCGTTTCTTGGTAAATACTATGCAATTTTTCGGAGTGGCCTGAAGTTTTTTCACAACTTCACCAAATTCTGATTTCACAATCCAAGCATTAAGAAAGGTGTTTAGTCGAGAAGAGGTTCCTATGATGTTAGTGACTGATAATGGCTCTCATTTCGCTGCAGATGCAGTCACTACCTGGTTGAACGGTAAAGGGTGCAAACATCTATTTACTGCTCCCAGACATCCGTGTTCTAATGGCCAGGCAGAGAATTTTGTCAGGACGTTAAAGACTGCTATTGATTCTATAGCCGCCTCAACATTTAATGAGCTGGAGAGGGGAGTAGATACCTTCTTATTACATTACAGAAATGCAAGACATTCGGTGACGAAGGAGACTCCAGCGAAGCTACTGAAAGGAAGAATTCTTCGGTCGAGTATGAGATGTTTAGAGTCTGCAGAAGTTACATACTGTCGAGGAAATGATCTTCGACCATCAACAGGTATTGTTCTGAAGAATGTCGGAAAATCGATGGTGCGAATTCTAGACATCAATGACTTAAGTACACACAGTCGACATGTTGATCAATTACAATTTCAGGAACCAGGTGAGTCTGTTCCAATTTCCGTTGTTAATTCTAATGATAATGAGCACATTCTAGATAATACAGGATCCTTATCCAATACAATGTCAGACAGACTCAGGATGAATTTGAGAAGACGTACGATTGATTACGAACACCTAGGCTCCAATTTAAGCTGTGGCTGATGTGGTGTTTGAATGAACTGATGATACCTTTGTACTTGTTGATTGCACGATTTCGAATTCCAAATATAATACATTCGTTTGTGCTTGTGTCGTAGTTCTTGATTTAATTGTGTTAATTCTGGGATTCCTAGTTCATACTACAATTCAAATAATTCAAATATAATAGAAAGTCACATCATTGTCTACACTGCCTCATGCTATCATAATCATCGCCAATATTTGATAGAAAATGCACTTAGGTTGAAGATAGAACGAAATATTCAATACGAATAAAAGTGATAAGTTACACAAGAATGACCACACGTGCGAGACTGAGGCATGCCATTCGACTGATTAAATTAATTCTCTTCACCTTCTCCATTGTTGGGTTTTTCTCCACGTCGAATGTTGAATATCTATTTTCCCAGTCGTCTCGTTTTTAGCTTTGGGGATTGTGTGGTTTGGGCCCAATCCCACTAAAAGCGTAAACAGAGGTGTCATGTCACGTAACTTGTCAGGTGCCCAGCGATCGGATGACATTCGTTTGTAGAGGCAAATAACTACACAGAATAAATAATTCTGCAAGACTTTGACATCACTGCTGACCTCGGCAGTTTTCCCGGAGAGACCGTAGATGAAGGCGCTCAGCTATACATCCTTCGCAAAAGTTAACCAGCTAAGACCAAACGCATCTCCAAATATCGATAACCTTACATATATGTCATTGAACGACTTGATTTATGGCTTTTTATTTGACTATGTTCACACACTTCGAATATAAGGGTGTAACATGTAAAGGAGTTTTCAAACTTTGAATATTTGTGGCATCTTCACTTTAAACAACACGTCAAAATGCGACCAGTTAGTGATGCTTAACTGAACACATTCAGCTAGTGACGTTCAATAAATCTAGCACAGTTATTGTCGTTATTTATTTTAGGAAATAGTTAACGCAACACAATGTGTCAAGATATTGATTAGTTTAGTATTCTTTAATTTCAGAATATCTGATCTTTTCACAAAATATGCACGGTGTGTTATTGATATATGAGACAAAGAAGTCACAGCATGCATAAATCGAAGACAAATAAACAAGATAAAGGAATGATTTCAAAGGGGAAGAATGTATTTGCATCTGGATGTTGTGTTATTTTAATGTTCCAGTTATTTGTTTAACATATTCAGATAAGACAACTGATTAGAACTGTTGAGTGTAATTGCTGTTATTCAGATAATACGAGATAGATAAAATAAAAGTACACAGCATATCTGATAGAATAGTATTACGGGGTGATTTCAACTCATTGGTGTCAGGGATATACAGGTGGTCATTAGAAGTAAATCCTAACAGGAGTGTGGCGTTGGAACTAAATTACTATAATCATTCGTATCACTACACAATATATGGATTCGTGTTACCCAAAGTAAGAAACTATAAAAATTTAGGAGTCATACTAAGCAACAATTTCAAAACTACCAGTCACTGTAGGGCTGATGCTACAAAAGAGCATGGAGTATTATGGTCTATTCGTAGGTCTTTCCAGTATTGGGATGAAGCAATGTATAGATTATTATACCCGTCTTTTCGTGCGATCACATTTGGAATATGGGATTCAAGCAGCGGGCCCTTGTTTCAAGTATGAGGCGGATATGCTAGAACGAGTCTAACGACGAGGGACTAAGCTGGTATAAGATATATCTGGCCTATCTTATGAAGATAGACTGAAACATCTTAACATATTTCCGTTATCTTACCGTAAAGTACGAGGTGACCTGATATTGGCTTACCGTAAACTAAACGATGACCTTGGTACCAACGGGTCTTATCTTTTCCTTCCGTCTAGGACTGATCATTTGAAAGGACATTCGAAGGTAATCCAAAAACCGAGATCAAAACGTCGACGTCTGGAGTTTCGTTTCTCTCGCCGAGTAGTGAATTACTGGCATTCTCAACAAGAACACGTAATATCAGTACCTTCTGTTGATATATTCAAAACGAGATTGGGCCTCCACAGTTTTACAAACTGCAAGAATTAATATAGGTGGATAGACCTCTTTTTCTTATTACAGCTTACAATCAATTGGTGACAGTCCAAGTGTTTGACACTAGGTATTAACTTGGTGAATTTCTAGCGATACCATTTTGTGTCTATGAACCAACGTCGGATTCGTGGGCATGTTTTTATTTGAGAAACGAAGACTTTGTTTTTCTACTTACATTTGTAGGACACATTTTTCGGAGGACGCGTTGACATATTCAGTTTGTCTACGTGATGGGTTTGTCGAAGCTTAGTATTTCAGATGTTGACCTTAAAGGGAAACGTGTTCTTATTCGGTAAGAATGATTTTAGCTGATTAACGTTGAGTGCTTTATAGAGTTGATTTCAACGTCCCTATGAAAGATGGGAAAGTTACTAACACTCAAAGGTAATAGTCGGAGATTAAAGTTACTTTGTACCATTTTAGAATAGCAGCTGCCATACCAACTATTAAATATGCTTTGGATAAGGGGGCTAAGAGTGTCGTCCTAATGTCCCATTTAGGTCGGCCAGATGGGAACAAAGTCGATAAGTATTCTCTAAAGCCTGTGTGCCCTGAAGTGTCAAAGTTGTTAGGAAAAGAAGTTACCTTCCTCAGTGATTGTGTTGGACCTGATGTAGTTAATGCGTGTGCTAACCCTACTCCTGGAAGTGTTTTTTTGTTAGAAAATCTACGCTTTCACGTTGAAGAGGAAGGAAAAGGTGTCTCACCGACCGGCGAAAAAGTTAGTCCTGTCTTTCATTTTTTTATAGTGTTCGGATTACTATAGAGTGTCACAAGTCGCCGCCACAAACTGGGGCTAATCAGCTAGGAACGTTCCCATCTTTGTATTTCCTAAATGTTCAGTACCAAAACAGCCAACTGGTAGGATTCTCTTTGTAATATTATGAAGAGTTCCGTATGAGCATCGGTTGTTTTCGTTCTGCCACCAAAGTTTTTTCTAGGACTATCAGTGATTGGAGCGCTATATTGGTTCTAAAGCTATTTCAATGGATCTATAATTTATAGACGAATCAATCAGATTCCCGTTAGTATATTATGGATTTGGGCTTGATTTTCATCCATCCTTATTTCTAGGCAGCATTCTGACACCATAGCTAATGTCAATTCGTAATAAAAATCCTTACTCTTATAGTGCTAGCGTCTAGTTGTAAATCCTAATTCCTTATGCTAATTTATTGCTCATTTAGTAAGTAGGTGGATGTTCTCAGGGTCAGCTATGCGACGCTCAGATGTCTTTAAATTACAGACTCACCGTTATTCCGTGTCATATATTCTCTTATATATTGTCAAAATAGAAAGATAAAATTAAGATGCAGATCTAATATTACATATTTCATGTGATGTAAATATACTGTTCTGTCGAATTATTCAGCTATTTTCTGGATATGTGCAAGATTCGTAAATTTTCTAAGCAGATTATATGGACGTATTGTCTACTTCTTGAGAATAACTCCAATTGGTAATACTTCCGGGCACCATATATTTGCTTAACATTAACTAGTATCTACGGAATTTAATGCAGTGAAGTAATAATTCAGTAGACTAGCTTTCTGCCTTTAATGATCCTTAACTTAAGACTTGCAAGTGGATTTCGTGTACAATCCATAAACACTATTACTCGTTATTATAAACTCCATATTCTATTTTTTGACAGACAAAAGCCACTGCTGATCAAATCAAGGCTTTCAGTGAAAGTCTGACAAAACTTGGTGATGTTTACGTCAACGATGCCTTTGGGACGGCACATAGAGCTCATGCGTGAGTTAGGCTTGCATATCTTTTTGTATGAATCTTTTTTAGTAATGAGATCATCTTTAGAGTTAGTCGGGCTCGAGAAGCTAGTGATTTTATAAACATGCAACGAATAGGACGACCAAAAAGCCTATTAAACATGTTCAACACTGTATAAATTAATGCGCAACGCTCAATTGAGTTGTATATCGTCAGCCTCCTACAAGTCAATCAGAAAGATTACTCAATTTCAGCATGATAAACCCACTTGTTATCAGTTGGAGAACAATTATTCCATTTGGCTTAGGGAAATAAATCAAAATCAAGAAGATATGTGTTATGAGCACTTTTATTACGACCCAGCTACTCTTATTGCTTAGTGTTCCTGACACCACTTCACCCGACATGTCTCCAGAGCAGAACACAGTTGGAGAGAAACGTAGTTGTATTCTAAATAGCAAGATAGAATGAGAACAATAATCACAATAAGGCAAACAGCATATTTACGATTATTCACTAGAAACTTTTAGTCTTCCCCAAGTATACGCTAACACTGGCTGCGAAATAGCTGTGCATCGCCCTAAGTTGTTATACCTCACATCAACAGAGTAGATCATGATTAGAAACAAATGGAAAGAAATAACACCTATGAACCATATTGTTTGTTGTTTTATTTTACAAATATAATTTTTCAGGAACTCATACATTAGTATGTAGAAAAAAAGTTCAGCTTAGTCTATGACTTAATAAAGGTGAAACTTGGCCATTGAGGGTAGAGGTTATTCATAGGTTACTGGTATTCGATCATAGGTGTCTATGAAGCATTGCTCGTGCATTTTAGGACCACGGAGTATGCCATGACTGGGTTGTGGATAGAGTACCATGTAAGGATTTAAAATCGATTGGTGAGGTATTAAATCTTCACCAACTAAGGTGGTTGGTGTTGTGACTTTACATTCGGCTAGTTATCACGTGATTTATTCGCCAATCGAAATACGACCTATACAATCTTAGCACTGTATCTAACCAATGACGTTCGACTTGTATTAATAGCCTAGCGTACTTTGTTCACCTAGCCCGTCCAGTTGAGTCCAGAACACAGATACCAGCTTCCACTATGCGAATCATTTATTTCAAACATACTCGGCTTATATACTTGTTATAATCTCTTTTTTACGGTTATGACCCAGCTATTCCTATTGCTTAGTATTCTTGGACACTAAATCACTCGACAAGACCCCAAATCAGAACATGGTTGAACAGGAAAGAGATTATATTCCAAATAACAAGGTTAGATGGAAGCAAGATGCACAATAGGGAAAACGTCAGTATATTTATAGTTTTTTACATAAGAAGATTCCAGAGTATTCTCCAACTATCGACTAGGGCTGATTGGATAAGAATTAGCCAATCAGCGTGCACCAAAGCAATCATGCATTGAGCATGCTTTAATCTAGTCTATGTCCCGCTAACAATACTAGTCAGACGGACATCACACCATAAAATAAGAAATAACATTTATACAAGATTAAGCCAAAAAGTGGCTATGAACGTGGGAGACTGTAATCAATAAACTAAGTATAATTCTAGAACAGTAAATCATATAATATTAATATACAGGTCAAAATGTCCCAATGTTTATGTGTTTAAATAAATAAGAAGTAGAAATAAATGAAGTTTATAATAATAGGAATATAGATATACATAACCTAGTTACTGAACAGTTATACATTAGGCATATATATATTAGTCCATTAATAGTTCGCAGAAGTTACCCGTAATTTAATCTTCACTATAATATAACCGTTGACGTGAGAGTAAGTTTGGATGAACACCAAGGGAGGCCAAACCAAAACATGTCATCAGTCCACGAAGTCTGTGACAGTTGTACTTAGCCATGTTGTTAGGCGCAGATTATTTGGTTAGGGGCCGCGTGATTATCGTAACCAATGATTTTTGAATGATATGGCTTAAGATCGTTTGTAATTGCGCAGGTGAACCTGTTCTTTGTCTTCCCTGAAGTTCTAAATTCCTCACAACTATTTTGTTTTCATTTTATTAGTTTATACTTTCTTTCCGAGTTGTATCTTTGATGCCTAATCTTTCCTATTATTACTGAAACTTTTACTGCCTTTACTATTCTGGAATTTGGCCTGACAACTCGATGTGTTCATGGGGCATAGCAACTTGAACCGATGTACATGCATACAGGTTCTGACGAACCGACTATCACCTTTCCAACTAAAAATCAAGCACATAATAAAGTTTCTGGTTCTGAATATAATCATTCAAGACAATATCATTCTACATTTTCCACTGTTTTCGTTATAATTCAATATTGGATCATTTTAATGTTAGGCTACTAAATTACTTAACAGGTATAGATTCGTCTACTTTGAGCCACATTGTGCGATAACCAGTGATACTAGCTTGTTCCCCAAACCGGAGTAGGTGAGATTCACACCTGCGTTCTTATGACCAGAAGTCGATGGCCCTAACCACTCAGCCACAGCTTCACATTCTTTGGATAATGAGTTTTTTGTATAGTTTATCCTGGTTTTACGTAAGTCAACCATTTCTTCGTCATTTTGCTTTATAGTTCTATGGTCGGCTGCCAACTGCCACAAAAAGCCTGTGGATTTCTCATGAATAAAGAACTGACATATTTCGCCAGAGCTTTGGAAAATCCAGAACGTCCTTTCCTAGCTATTTTGGGAGGGTAAGGATTTTGTTGATTTGCTGCATATATGTCCAATATATCAGTATATTTTTCAGGTTTCAAACCAAATTTAAGCTGTTATATATAGTTAAAGTAATTCCTTTCTTTTGTCTAGTGCCAAGGTTAGCGACAAGATCCAGTTGATCAATAATATGCTTGACAAAGTTAATGAATTGATCATCGGTGGTGGGATGGCATATACATTTCTTAAGCAAATACACAACATACATGTAGGTCACCGTATTTTTTTGTATTTGTATCTAGACGTTTGTATTATATATTCGCATTAGTAACAGTACCTGGAGTAAATTTTCCACTTTTCTATCTTCACAGTAAAAGTTGTAAGAAGTAAATGAAGCAGTCTTGACGGGCGCGCTATGCCTTAGTGGTTTCTCATAAGGGCTACGACTTTAACGTTTTGTTTATAAGAAAACTGCCTCTTTCTACCGATACTCTTTTTCAGTATCATCTGTAGGCTCTATCGAATTTTCCTTCTATTAACTTCTACACAGTGACCCGCGAACGAACAAAATAGGGCTCGATGCAAGAGAAGACAAAAACAACAGATGGAGACGTACTTAAACCCATCATGTCTCAGTACACTTATATGTAACTTCAAATTAACAGCTAAGCTTGAAGAACTATAATTTGTCTGGTGACTGACTAATCCTTAAGTAAAATTTTAGTTGTGTAGTCTTATTTCGTTGATTCAGTTATCCCGTTCTTCAAACAAATTCCCCCTCCATCTGTGCAGACGTTAGTGTTTATTGCCTAGTTAAATTTAACTGTATGATTTTAGTTTGCATTAGTCGGCTCTAACTCTATTGTAATCAACCGAGATTATTATGTTGTTATTTATTTATTTATTTATTTGAACACGTAAATATTGGTACAAGAGGGCACCAAACTTATATGCGCCACACAGAACAATGAGAATTTAAAGACAAGGAAAAAAAGGTAAGGAGCGTGAAAGAAAAAGAGAACAATAACGAACAGATTGATGCAAGGTAGTGTAATAATAATAGTAATAATGGGGGAACGGAAAGGTACAGTCAGAAGAAATCTTTCAGTTAAGGAAGTAGCAACCACTGACTTCTGTTTTGAGCCATATCTGATAACGTCTCTAGCCACTGTGTAGCACCATCTCTCGGACCCCAGCCAGGGAGTCGTGAAGGTCCAACACAAGCCAGTCCTTTGCAGCCTTCTTTCATACCACGACACCATGTCATATACTGACCACCTCTCCGCTTTCTCCAACCAGTCCCAGAGTCGGCAAATAATGCACGATGTGGAATTCTCTGGGACGACATTCGTAGAGCATGTCCAAGCCACCGAAGTCGGTGTTTCAAGATGGTGACACCAATTGGATTATCGTCTCTGTGCCCGAACACACGATGCCGGACCTCTGCATTACTGACATGGTGTTGCCACTGAATGTCAGCAATCCTTCGGAGACAGCGATGATCGAACACAGAGGTCGTCTAACGTCCTCAACTCGGAGAGGCCAGGTTTCACAAGCATAGAGCAAAACTGCTCTCGCAGACGCGTTGTAGATCCGACCTTTTACAGCCAGACTAACATCATGAAGGCGCCACAGGTGGCCCAGATTGGCATAAGCCGCTCTGGCGTTCACTATACGTGCATTGGTCTCATCACTCACACCCCCACCAGCACTTATGCAGCTACCCAGATACACGAACTTCTCGACTGTGTCTATCTGCTCACCATCCAGGGTGAGTACATGATTAGAATCCTGCCAGTCTTGTAGACGTACTTTGCACTTCGAAGGTGCAGATCCACACCGCCATTACCTACATCCTTCAGAGCTGTTTCCAGAATGTCATCGATGGCAAAGTTGAAGAGGAATGGTGAGATTGGGCAACCGTGCTTAACCCCACTGCTCGAATGGAACAATGGAGAGAGGTAGTTGTATGCCCTCACTCTGCCTGAGGTGTTTGTATATAGAGCCTTTAGGATGTTAGTAAACTTCTCAGGCACACCGTTCTTCAATAGACAATCCCAGAGAACAGTTCTGTCCAACGAATCGAAGGCAGCCCTGATGTCAAGGAACACTACGATTGTTGGCCTTTGACAAGTATGGCGGTGTTCTAACATTTGGCGAAGGGTAAAGATATGATCAATACATCCTCGACCAGAACGAAACCCAGCCTGCTCCTCGCGAGTCAATCTTTCTCGGGTTTTGAACAACCTACGAAGTATGACGGAAGCCAATAGCTTGGACGCAATCGGAAGTAGACTTATCCCCCGATAGTTGTTACAGGAACAACGTGAACCCCTTTTAAAGATAGGGACAACTATCGACTCATTCCATGACGTTAGTACACTCTAGTTCCCAAACCTTTGTAAACAACGTCGTCAATTCCTTAGTCAAAAAGTCACCACCATCTTTAAAAGGAGGCGGAGGTAAGTCATCTGGTCCAGGTGATTTGTAGCGCTTCAAGAGTTGGAGTTCCTTGCGGACTTCCGCCTCATTTGGTGGATCAGTCGTCACCGGCCATAGACGGCAGGACAGTCTGACCGATGTTGCCGAAGTAACAGGCCAGTTGGACTGCCCATCGTTCAAGACGTCGATGGATGTTAGTGATTGGCATCCTATCATCCTCGTAGATTGTTTCGCTTACACTAGACTTCTTGCTGCCAGTGGCTCGGGTGGGTTGGGAGAGCTTTCGGTAGTTACCAGATGCAGCTTCTGCCTCCAGCTCATTAGCACGCTTCGACCACCAGGCTTCTCGGTCCTTACACAAGCTTTGCTCGATTTCATTACGTAACAGTCGTCGTTTGTGGTCAAACTCACGGTTACCCGGAGTAGACCGACGGGCTTCGATGAGTTGTACGAAGCCTGAAGAAACCCAGTGCTTGTAAGCGGGACGTTTTCCGAACCCACAACTGAATTTACTCGCCATTTTGATGGTGTCATGCAATTGCAGCCAATGCTCATCTATACATTTCGGTGGAGTGGTAGCTAACCTAGAAGCTAGCTCTGTTTGATACTTACTAGAAACAGAAGTTGCAACCAACTTGCTAACATCAACCTTTTGGTGACGGTCACTTCGTTGGCCACTGAAAAGTAAGTCTTCCACGGTGTGGGCAGCCGGGAAGTGACATCAGCCCTCATACCCGTAACAGCACAAGAGACCAAGGTGGTCACATTCAAATCCTTCCTACACCTCCTAATACCTCTCTTATCTCCCCGACTAACCCTCCTCACGTCTCTTTATCACCTCGCACCGCTAGGGCAAACGATTTGAGTACGTGGAACGCCATTCCTGGTCTCCTGAAACCACGCTCTAAACTACACGTAGGAGCTTTTAACGTACGAACACTTTGTCAAATAAGACAGCAGGCTTCCTTAGCTAAAACTTTAAAATCTCGCGCCATCGATGTGTGCTGCGTCTCCGAAACGCGCACACACGATCCAAGTAGCGTCATTCATTTGACCTCACCATGCCAAAATAAAGAACCGACTCGATTTACGCTTCGTATATCTGGAAGCCCTGATTCTGCTTCCCGTGGCCTCGCCGGCGTAGGTATAGCATTGAGTCCTAGGGCAGAACTAACTCTCTTAGAGTGGATCCCAGTAGACAGTCGTTTGTGCGCTGTCCGACTGAACGGAACAGTAAGATTCCGGAAAAATAGGGACACTCGTCGTTGCCTCTTCGTCGTCTCTGCCTATTCTCCCACTGACTGCAGCTCAGATGATGTAAAAGATGAGTTTTACAGAAAGCTTTCGGACCTTCTCCTAAAAGCTGAGCGCTCGGATGTAGTAATAGTGGCCGGTGACTTTAATGCTCAAGTAGGTAAACTAAGCGATAGGGAAAGACACCTAGGTGGATCTTATGGTGTCGTGGCTCAAAAAACAGATAATGGCGACCGTCTGTTGCAGCTATGCTCAGATAACCGCCTGTTCCTTGCAAATACTAACTTTAAGCATAAGGAAAAACATCTTTTAACATGGCGACCCCCTAATTCGTCCCAATGTTGGACCCAAATAGATCACATCGCTATCAGCCACCGATGGAGGGGCTCGATAGAAGACTGTCGCTCATTCTGGAGCACATGCCTAGATTCAGATCATGCTCTAGTGCGAGCGCGTATTTGCTTGCGTCTTACTGGACGCAGGAAAGACGCTGCAAGGAAACCTCTTAGGGGCCTACTTAATTATAGTCAAGCTAAGCGTATATTTCAGGAACAACTAGGAAAACAGTTAGGCAGCCATGTATGTGATGCCCACCCCGATGCAGCATGGAATGATATCCGAAAAGCTGTGGAAACAGCAGTGATATCTGCTAGTAAGGTAAACCAGAAGGTTAGGGAGCAACACTGGATCTCAGCAGCATCTATCTCACTGATAGATGCTCGGAAACTCATTCCACCTGGCTCTGAACATAATAAAGTGCGGAGTCAGCTTAAGCGCAAGCTGACAAGAAGTCTACGCAATGATCGTGAACAGTGGTGGGTAGCGAAAGCAAGAGAGATGGAAAAGGCAGCGACAATAGGTAATAGCAGACAATTGTTCAGACTCGTTAAGGAAACCGGTATTAGGAACCCGACCGTTAGCGAAACAATCTCAGAGAAAGATGGATATATTATTCATTCTCAATCGAGGAGATTGGATCGATGGGCAGAACACTTTAGGGATCAGTTCAACTGGCCTTCAGCCACACTTCGGTTTCCCACGATCTCCAGTCAACCTGAATGGCAAGTTAATGTAAGTCCTCCGTCCCTTTACGAAGTTGAAAAAGCCATAGGAAATCTGAAACGAGGGAGAGCAGCAGGCCCTGACAGGTTTACTCCTGAGATTTTTAAGGATGGTGGTCCAGTATTAGCAATGAGATTAACCGAGGTCTTAGGTAGAATTTGGGAACTGGACGTAATCCCATCTGACTGGTCTCAATCACTGATTGTGCCAGCTTTTAAGAAAGGACAAAAGTCCTCTTGTGACAATCACAGAGGAATCAGTTTGACTAATATAGTGTCTAAAATGTTAGCTTCAATAATACTTCGACGCCTAATCAAAGCTCGTGAAGAGCAGATTAGAGAAAACCAGGCCGGTTTTCGACCTGGACGTGGTTGTATAGATCAGATATTCATACTACGTCAGGTTCTAGAACACAGACACACATTCAGACGCCCCACAATGGTAGTATTTCTCGACCTTAAGGCGGCATTCGACTCTGTTGATCGTGAGGTTTTGTGGCAGTGTTTGTCACTGAAAGGAGTACCAAAGAAGTACATTAACCTTATAAAGGCTCTCTACTCGAACACAACTGGTAGAGTGAGAGCTTATGGCGAACTGTCATCAGAATTGATTACCTCAAGTGGTGTTCGTCAGGGCTGTCCACTCTCCCCATTCTTGTTCAACTTTGTCATTGACGTACTTTTAGAGATAACACTTTCCTCATCTAAATTTACAGGGGTTGAACTTCTATCAGGAGGTTCACTTGTTGACTTAGAATATGCCGATGACATAGTTCTATTTGGTGAAGACGCTGACAAAATGCAGAGTCTTCTGACCACTCTAAGCAACAATGCAAACATGTTCGGGATGCGATTCTCTCCCTCGAAATGCAAAATGTTGCTTCAGGATTGGGTTACATTGACACCCGAACTAGTGATAGGGAGTGAAGTAGTTGAGCGTGTCGACCGCTTCACTTATCTTGGAAGTCTCATCAGCCCTTGTGGTTTTGTGTGTGACGAAATCTCAGCACGGATACAGAAGGCTCGACTAGCTTTTGCCAACTTGCGTCATTTATGGCGTAGGCGAGATATCCGTCTATCAACCAAGGGACGGGTTTACTGCGCAGCAGTTCGTTTCGTCCAACTTTATGGCAGTGAAACATGGCCGGTAAGAATAGAGGATATACGTAGGTTACTAATATTCCACCATGGATGTCTTCGAAACATTGCTCGTATATCCTGGGACCATCGAGTAAGTAACACAGTTGTTAGGAAACGGGTACTAGGTAAGGATGGCAAATCAATTGATGAAGTAGTGAAACTTCATCAGTTGAGATGGCTGGGACACGTGTTACTTATGCCCAACCACCGACTGCCTCGACGTGCTATGTTCAGCGGTATAGGAGTAGGATGGAAGAAAGCTAGGGGAGGTCAGATCAAAACATGGCACAAGTCCATGAAGTCACTGACAAGTGGACTGAGTCATGTTGGTAGGTGCAGACTACCTGGTTGGGGACCGCGAGATTATAGCAACCGATGGTTAGAGACCCTGAATGACATGGCTCAAAATCGTTTGCAATGGCGCAGGTGCATCCACTCTCTGTGTTCTCCCAAATTCTAATCTTCTGAATTCTTCATGTCCCTTTTTTCCTCTTTCCAAATTTATTTCACTGGATTATACTCTTTAAATAACATCTCCAAACCCTAATCTTCCTGATTACTGCTTATACTCTTATTACCTCTACCACTACGGGATTTGAATCGACAACTGCATCTCTGTGCTAATGTGGTGTGGCAACTCGGACTGATGTACGTACGTACGAAGTTCTACGTTCTTACTGACTGACTGACTGACTGAAAAGTAAGGTAAGATAGGCGCAGACCAAAGCATGATCGGAGTCTAGATAGGTACTCCAGAAGGAGCGGCAGTCTTGTACACAACCACGCCAGCGGTAGCTGATCGCGATGTGATCAATCTGAGTCCAGGCTTGAGATGCAGAGGGAGGACGCCAGGTGGCACATCGGCGATGACTGTGCCGAAAGTTAGTGCTAGCCAGAAACAGGTTGTGGTCTGTGCATAATTGCAGTAGACGGTCCCCGTTATCTGTCCTGCCACCAACAAGTCCCCATCGGCCACCTAAACGACTCTCTTCTGTGCCTAAACGTCCGACCTGAACATTCAAGTCTCCGGCTAGTACTACAGTATCTGTCGAATAGTTGACTGGTGGTAGAATTCGTTCTTGATTGCATCCGGGCTGCAATCTGTGGAGGCATAGGCGGCGATGAGAAAAAGACATCGTTTCTCACGCCGATTTCTTCTCACTTTGATGGAACTTTATAATCTAACAGCAAATAACCGACTGTTAATGGGGATCCAATCGATTAGTGCTGCCTCAGCTCTAGCGCTTAGTGCGACACCAACGCCAGCAAGACTAGACGAAGATGCCACAGGGTCCCCGGATTGGCGCACGTAAAACAAGCTTTTCGAAGCGACAGATGGAGATCGAATTTGTAGTACTTCGCCAGAGTCTTGAATACGGGTCTCAGATAGACAGCAAACATCGATATTAAGATCTTCTAAAGACATAGCTAGCCCTATCTGTTGTCCAACCTGCATAAGTGTGCGAACGTTGAAGGCAGCCAGTTTGAATGGTGCACGTGGTTTCAGAAAACCTGCTCCTGTATTCGTATTAGGTGGCAACATACAATTTTCAACCGGACAGTGACTTGAGAACGTTTAGATAGAGTCGAATTTCCAATATAGACGAGCTGCTGTATAAGTCGAAAAATAAGGAATACATAAAGTGGGAATAAAAGAGAGTGAATAAATGACGTAGTAAATAATAATAATAATATGAATTGGTTGACTGTAAATCGAAGCGAGAATAGAGTTTTCAGTAAATACCGTCATTATCATTATATTTGTACTTCCCGGGTGCCCAGACCGAAGCAGGTGGTTTTCTTAGGGGGTCACACCTCGAGCCTTTGACCTAAAAGTCTAGCCCACAAGGCAGTGGGGCATCGTGAGGAGGTGCAGTCCCATGATAGCCGGTGACCAAGATGTGGTGTGGCAACTCGAACTGATGTACGTACGTACGAAGTTCTACGTTGTTACTGACTGACTGACTGACCAAGATTGCTTCCAACGCCATTTGTTCCCTCAGGATACTAGAGCCCATGTGCACCATTGGTTTGGGATCTGGTTAAAGTTCCGGATATTCGCTTTTCGTCCTCTCATTTTCGTAAACAACAGTAATGCCACGAGAAGGCAGTGAATAGGACTTCCCTGGCATGGATGGGATTTATTGGTTTCTCGTGTGATTTTAAAGTGACGAACTCTTTCTATGTATTTGCGGATTTCATTTTGAACAGATAAGTCTACTCAACATACATCTTTGTTAAATTATGTATCACTTTGAGTCCTTACACTTCAGCACAGTAAAGTGTAATGGCTAAGAAAGAAAATTGTGGAAAGTTAATGATGAAAACCGTTCTTAATGTTTGAAGAAAAAAGGTTTATACAATCAGTATTTTTACGTTGATGAGGTAAAGAAAAACAGAGTACAGGTGTGCCACTGTGTTTAGTTTTGAGTTTTGTCCTTAAAGTCAGCAATCATCGGTTACGACCATACCGCGCATGCTAATATGGAAGTTGTGTCTTCATATATGGTTCAGACTAATGGTAAATGGCTTCTAAGATCAACGTCATATATTGGTCTAGTCGCTGTTAGATTCTCAGTGAAGATTATAGGTGAATTATTTGACGTTTATCCATTCACCTTAGGTCTGTGAGATTGGTTAGTATTATTGGTTCATAAATCAACTAACTGGGAACGTAGTGGACTGACATATTTTCCAGGTTGCTTTAATTAACGTGATTATTTTTCGTACTTTTATACCAAATAAAATGGTTCTGTAGTAGGGGGTAGCTGAACTTGCATTACAGGTATTTTAACAGCTTCAGTCAATCTGAGCTTACGAACTTACTAACTGATTTATCATATTTATCTAGTATTCTGTGTATCATAATATTGTTCAGCCATTTCACCATAGTAAATTCAAATAATGTTTTAGTCACATCGATTATGAAATTTTTTCAAATCTTGAATATGCTATGCACTCAGTGCTCACGTCTCACCTCTAGAATGTACGTAAGTAAAATGTTTATTTGTCTTTTCTTATTTTCAGATAGGAAATAGTTTATTTGATGCACCGGGTGCAGAAATCGTCCACAAAGTAATGGAAACTGCAAAGGCTAAAAATGTTGCAATTCACCTACCTGTTGACTTTGTAACTGCTGATAAATTTGCTGACGATGCGAACACTGAAGTAAGAACTATACAATCTGGAATTGCTGACGGTTGGATGGTGAGTTAAACTTTTATTCATAACAGAAGTGAATAACAAATGTGTTTGTCAGTAATTTTTTATTATTTTGTGTATCAACTTTAAACATAGACATCTAGCCTTCCGATTCAATCAGAAGAAAATTTACTTAATAGTAAAGTAACTTTTCTTTACAATAGCCTCCAAATACTCTGGACGGTCGAGGATGGGAAGAGTCCGCTATCCTTCTCATGGCCACCCGTATATAGCCGCTTCCAAGGAAGTGCTAACTGCATTTTCACGGCGAGGTTTTTGTTTACGGAATTGAATGAACAGGGAGCAAATGTTCGGCGCTTTTGTCGAGTTGGTGGATACTGAAAATCCACCTAGGGGAGTAGCTAGGAAACCATGATTACAAACTCATGGGACATATTATCTCCAGTATACTGAGGGAATAAATGACGTAAAACCTATTGTTAGTCACGCGTTACCACGGGACAACATCTCCTAACGTTGCTCCACTGCCTTGTGGATTAGACATCAATGTCGAGCTCGTAAAGTGGCCTCCTGGGAAAACCAAATCCGGACAGAATTCCAGCCCACACGAATTGAATGATAACTATTTTATGTGGCGCACATAAATTTTGGCACCCCTTTGTAGCAATCCTTGTGTTTAAATAAATAAAATAAGCATCATTTAGAGAAATATTGTGAATGAAAAAGCGCTAAACAAGTATATCTTTAGTTTTGTAAAGAAGTATGGATAACTAATGGCACTAAGGGTTCGCAAAGGAAACTCCGAGCTATTCACTCCGGCAATTACTATATTCACTCTTTTACATCAAGACATTTTTAAGTATATAAAGATGATCCTTCCTTTTTCATGTGTTCGAGTGCACTGTATGCATAAAAACTCACAGTTTACTAAAATAAAGTCGGCAAAGGAATCCTCATTAGTGAAATCTGTTACAATAGATTAAATGTTTTCACTAGATGCATAGTATCTGTTTTGTTGTACGGCGTGCTTTACCCCATAAAAATCCAGTAAATCACTAAATCAATATTCATATGTTTACGTTAAGAAAACGCTTCCTATATTATCTAATGTTGAACACCTTTGGATAACATCTAACCGCTAGTTCCATTGCACTGGATTTTTATTAATTTCATAAGGGATTAGATATTGGTCCGAAAACAATTGAAGAATTCAGTAAGGTGATTAGTCGTGCCAAAACTATTGTTTGGAACGGGCCGATGGGCGTTTTCGAAATGGACAAGTTTGCAAGAGGAACGAAAGCAGCAATGGATGAAGTGGTCAAAGCTACTAAGAATGGTGCTACAACTATTATTGGTAAGTTGTATTTATCCAATTCCATTATCCTCGTTGAACTAATACACTGCTTTTAATGAGTTATTTTCATTTCCAAAGTAGTAAGGTGTAAACCATAATCAAGATTGCAGGCAGTATTACAAAGTTATGTTTTAATATCCAGTAAATCTGAAAAAAACTTATCCTTTTGCATATGGAGTCCTTATTTTCATTTGTTTCTGTTTAAAAATCTGTGTTAATATTTTCTCCAATATTTCTGTAGGTGGTGGTGACACCGCAACATGCTGCGCCAAATGGGACACAGAAGATAAAGTTAGTCATGTCAGTACTGGTGGTGGTGCTAGTCTCGAACTTCTCGAAGGTAGGAATGGCTTCAGTCCAATTACTTGCATTTAATTTCTGTATGACGGTATGATCGGCACGTTTATGTTGTATTTGACATTGATTTCTCTAATCTGGAGCCCAATCTACCAGCTAGTACTTTTCCTGCGTAGCAGATAGACTGCCTTAAAAATAAATTTGGTTGTATTATATATACTGCAGCTATGGAGTACAAGTTATACTTAAATTGTTTTAATTCAAAAATTTATGTATTCAAATAATGCAGTTTCACAGAGAAGAATGTTTAAGCGGAACGTTTTCATTAACTTAAGATACAGACTTCACAACCATGAATCCTTAAATATTATGTTATTGTTGTGAGAGGTGGCTTAGTGCTTAAAGATTCTGAATTTCAACCAGTAGTTCCTATGTTTAAGCCCCATTCTGTTTTGGCATTCGGATAATGTCACGTGCCTTAACACCAGGAGTATTATTATTGTTGTGAATACAGTAGCCGGTATAAGTCAGGCTTATAAGCAGTCAGTTTTGCACACTGAAAATAATGGCTTTGACGTTGATTCTGGCTTTTTATGTCATTGGTACAGTTGACAAGTCCTGTATTAATGTCTCGAAAAACTCTTATAATAAGTTGGTATCAGTAATGTTGAGTCCTGGGGGATTTAGCACAATGTGTTGCATGGTTATTATAATCATAGCAGTAACGACCACAGTAATATATTAATAGATTTAATACTGCATATACTGAATATAATTTTATTGGAAACAAATATTCATTTTTTTTACCATTCACTTAGTTAGATGTGTTTGTTTTCATCAAAGCAACTGTAATTTCACACCACATAACTGACTTCAAAAAGTCGTAAATCAAGATGCATTAGATATCCGTTTCGTCCCAGTATGGGACTCCTTAGCAGTGCATATCTTCGATTCCACCGGGGGCTGAACTCACGGTATACGTTAAATGTTTTGTCTTCTTTATTATAAATATGTTCTTGTTTTTCTGTTTCAGGTAAACAATTACCCGGAGTTGTTGCGCTTACGGATGCTCACTAATGTGTTTGGTCATAATATCCCTTAACTTCATAATTAATTATAATTAGTGTTCTTACCTTCGAATTTTCACACTTGTTCTCAGTTTTATGATTACTTGGTATTGTTATACATGTGTTCTTGATTTGATGGATATTTTTTCTGTTTCATTTCTATACGTGTAGATGTATTTCTCCCATATGCGCATTTGCTACCAATAGAAATTTCCGGTAATTGTTTTTTTCCACATATGTGCGTAGCCATTGCCCATTATTTCTGAATATGTCAGAATAATTATTCACATCTTCAAGTGGTATATTCAAAAGGTGCTGTTGGCATTTGATTGTAACATCATTCATGAACGAAACTTTTGTCATATGTTTAGTATCAATAATGTTATTACGTTATCTGTCAGATTCATCGCAAATATCAAATCTCCGATTAAATGTTTGTAAAAATACTGGAAAAGGCAAAGTAGATCTTCCAAAATGTCCAAGACATTGATTTCCTCGTTATAGTTAAGCGTGTCGTACATTATGTGAACGTAAGCATGATATCGTAAAAAAGTAGTTATAGAGACTCTGGTGCAACGGAGATCAAAGAAATCCTGTAACTATGGCTGATTATCCTGCTTCTTTCAAAGTGTTTCCGTATGACTAAGCTAAAACTAATAACTGTCAATAGAACATTAGGTTGTCTGACCAGAATCCCTGTGATGGTCAAAACTAATGGTTAAATATTTAAAGTAAAATATCTAAGTGTTGTTGCTAATTGACTCATTGATACTGATTGTTTTGATAACCGGTTTTCTCAAATTAGGATCATAAAACAAATGATAACGTTAATAATTTGTCGACATCTATCTTCATTAAACCACGACTATCTGTCTTTCTACAATTGTTGACTACGCTATATTTAATCTTCAATTTTATGGTATGGCATTTATATACAGCGATCAGTGCAAATTGGAGAGTACTACAGATTATGCCATTTAGTGCTTAACGATTGTTTGAACTGGTGATAGTGTTAAGGGGGTGATAAAATGTTTTAGGTGTCATCTTGACTTTCTTCTAAGTGACATAAAATAATTACTCCTTGTCTAATAGATAAGTAATTAATAATTAATCATTCCGGCTTCAATTTTCCGAACATGAGCGATAAATTTATCGTGACTACAAAACTTATTATAATACCTTTTGAGTTGGAAACACAGTATGGGAAAATGTTTAATTTACTGACTGGTTGATCAAGGAGATTGATCTTCATGGGTAGTTTGCAACTTTATCGACTTTGAAAATCAACTGGTTTAAAATAACGATAAAATTAACTAGTCAATCCTGACGATGAAACTAGAGATGAGTGATCAGCCCATTAGTGAGTATTGTGATTGGATCCATTCGATCGTGGCTATATGTACCGTTAAATGCTTCATCATTTGGGTTTGGTAGATGTAATAGACCAATTAGATCTAATTATTATAGATTTATAACGGAATGCACTGACAAACTAGAAGCTGTATGCTAAGCAAGGGGTAGCTTGTTTCCTGGTAACCAACTAAACAAGATGGTCTTTATTTTGTCAGCATTTGTCTGTACTCATAATAAGCTTGCTGTGGAGTGGCAAGACGATTTGTTAGGAAAATAAGTGACGTGCTTGGATCATTACAGCGTTATCATTATATTTTCACTCCACTATATGCCAAAACTCGAAATGTACCAAGTACAGGTACGTTTATAAGACGTTGAGTATTTATAGATAACACATCCAATGACCGATGTATTAAGACTGCAACCTGTTGATTAATAATTGGACACTCAGAATCATGGTAAATGTTTGAGGTATCGTCATCGAGCTTTCCAAGCCGCGATTGTGAAGCTGGCCACATATATATTGTTCTCTGCTAGAAAGTTGGAAATATATCCGGTTTTCGCGTCTTTACTAGCAAACTTACGTGATTTCAGAGGTTTTAAAACAATTAAAGATGTGTAGTCTAGAAGGTAAACCGAAGACACTCAGTGTTCTTACCAAGCTGCAAATCATGTTATGATAACTGCAACATCGAAGGTATGTGCATTCCACTTCAATCACTTTGATTAAACTAAGCAGTTAGTGTCGGTTATTTGCACTTGGGATTGTGACGTCATTCGGAGTGGGATTTTCACTTGTTTAATTTTCTGCAATTTTAGATTTGATCATACGGTTTCATTTATTAAGGTTTGATGAATCCAGAAGTAAGAATGTTTTTATGAAATCACTTGAAATATATGAAGCCTACCAGTGATACATTTAAGACTTTCGAAATACTCTATCTCCAATAAGTTTAAACAACGTTACTACTAAAGAATTCTGCACCATATGAACCAGTGAATATCTATTTGAACAGTTCGAAGAAATTGTGCTTAAATAGGAATTTTATTATACAAAAGGAAACACTCACTATTCAAAATACAAGTTTACCTTGATACGCTATTCATTTTAACAGACAATATTATTATAATTGTAATTATTAATTGATAATATGAAGGTAAAATAACACCAGTGATATAAGAGGATATTGAATGGATTATTGGGAAAAATGTCATTTAAGATTTACAAATATGTTATTAGTTGGTAATAGTGTCTTATTAATAAAGACCGGGAATATAATCAAGTGTAATGTTTATATTCTATATGTGAATATACTATTATCATCAGAATTATTATTAGTTGGAGTATTATGTTTCTGAGTGTTATTTCGAACTATAAATACTTATTGTGTAGTGATGTGAAAGTACTTTATATGCATTGTGTATTTTAAAATATGAAAACGTATAAAAATCAGCGTTCCGCGTTTAATTGACTAAAAAAAAGTCAATGGTAGGATTTTGAAAATGTATAAACTTGTGTCTGTGTGCGTGTGAAATCAATGATTGATGTGATCGTCTTCGTTAATGTTAAAATAGAACATTAACAGTGTAGATTGAATGGTCTGATATATTGCCGATACGTGATTAGATTAAATAACTGACCGATAAATCCAATAAATTTTGTATTAACTAAATATAATTATTATAAGTACGTAGTTAGTAGTAATAATAGTGTTTTAAAAATAATAAAATTAGAGATAGATTGTTCATGTATAATGAAGAGACAGAGATTGTAAAATAATAGATTATTAACTGATTCTTTACATCAAGGTCAATTAATAAGTATTAACAATAATTCATATCTTACTCATTTGGTTTATCATCTTAAACAGAACATTATTACTAACAACATTTCTTATGTAAGCACAAATATATTGAGGTAGTTTATTATATAGCAAAAAATAATAACAAATGTATTTGTTTCTTTGCTTTTGAAATATATATTTAAACGGTGACCATTTGTATTAAACGGTCATAATGCTTTGATTAATTTGAATTTATTGTTGTACAATAATCATTCTTTATTTACTATTCAATCACATTGAACACAAGTACATTTTTTTGCTAATTTTATTGTTCGTTCATAAACAGCACCATTAGGACAATTAAATAATATTGGACGTAATTTAATTTTTGTAGCTTGACAACAGTGTTGTTTTGTCATTGATGGAGTAGTCTTATAAGAATTAAGATGTATTAAGTAAGGAGAGTTTGATTCTTTCATTTTTATCATATGTGATTGTTTATTTATTAAATTCTGTGGTAACCAAACACGTCCAGAATTAGTTGATCGTTTATGAACTGCTTTCCATTTATGATATTTTAAGGATTCATAATCATTTGAAATATCATTCTCACTACTGAATAATTCTTCTTGTTGTTGTTGTTGGAATTTTATGATAGTCGAATCACAAGAACCAGAACACTTACGGATTGATAGTTTTCTTGATGAAATACAATTAGTTTGAGGATCACGAATATATGAACGCTGGGTTTCACGATGACAAACAGGTACTAAAATATATAAAAGGAAAAAAATTAACTTTGTGATCTAATTTTAAACAACTAACTTGGGGTTTTTATTTGTACATATGGATATAATGGTTCAGTGGACTTATCATGAAAGGATAGTGAAATTTTGCGAATTTCTTCACTTGCTTGTTTACGAGGTATAGATTCACGTATCTAGCTTTGAGCCACAATAAATGTAAGGACTATCGTTACTAACCGTTTGTCGTAACCGAAGTGAATGAACTCGAGTTCCCACCTGCGACTTTGTAGCTCACAGTCAAAACTTAATCAATCAGCCACTCCTCCGTAATTCATTGGATATTGTTCAGCTACTCATCCCACTATCTCTTATGAAGCAAAATCTATGAGGATATTTATTATCAGGAACATTTCGTTGATGAATCCTTAAGCTACGATCTATCACCTGTTATGCTTAGATGTAAATGAATTCATAGTTCAGTAGTTTAGGCTCAAACTACCAAAATTAGGCTTCTTTAATTATAATAGTAACGGTATTTTAAGAATTCTAAAAAATTGTCTTTGAATTAACTGAAGAATGAGTAGATGTCTAGATTTAAGATTGGTAGTTTTGTGAAACTTCAGTAATTTTAAGTGAACATTCCATAAAAACTGACAAAGTGCTGGAGTTCATAAATTCTATCAAAACAGAGTTATAGTTTATAGTTGGTAAGACGATCGAACAATCGTCAGACACAGTTTCGAATTGGTTTTACTATTGTCACTACTAGTAGTGATTCATGATGAACATTGTCTTTGAAGTGATTGGTTTTTTCCTCAACAATTTTTCATTGAATAGGAATATATTTTTCTTTTTAAGTTTGTTAATGATCCGAATAATTCGATGATAATAATTATTTCAGGTGTATAACTTACTTTCTAGTTGTTATTGAATGCTAACAAGAAAGAAATTCATTGACAGGAACTAGTGCTAATTGTCCACAAACTTATCATAAGCTTTATTTTGACCTATGAACTGTTATTATGCGACTCACCATTCTTGAGTTATGCCCTGTCTATCAATTACTATCTCCCTTATTCACAGCTACATTTGGCTAAATCTTGTACAAATGTTGCTTTCATATTTTATGGTACGATGTGGTCTGTCTGGTTGGTATATAAATAAATGATTCATATCGCAGAGGCTGAAATTGGTGTTCTAGACTTAACTAGCTGGGCTAGGCAGGAAACAGGACCGATAAGTACTCTAGACTGCTCGTACATGTTTTATACGTCATTGGCCCGATAAGTAAATTACTGTTCTCTAATTGGCGTTATCATCACGTCATACACTAAC